TTCCGCGGGGGGGTCCGAGCGGACGGCGACACCGCGAGTTTTGGAGCCACTTGGGGGCCGTTTCGGAGCCTCTGGGGTGCTTCTTGGGGGTTCCTTGGGGCGTCTGGGCGGCCTCGTGAGGGCCTCTGGGGGCCTCTTGGGGCACTCTTGGGGCCCCCTGGGGCTCCTGGGGGCAGAAAGCTAGAGTTTCAACATGTTTGGTCGCCCTCTTGGGCCCCTCTTGGTGCCGTCTTGGAGCCCTCTTGGGCCGTCTTGGGGACCTCTTGGGCCGTGTTGGGGCCGTCTTGGGCCGTCTGGAGGCCGTCTTGGGGGCCTCTTGGGCCATCTTGGGGCTATCTTTGGGGCCTCTTTGCCCGTCTTGGAGCGTCGGGAAGCCGGAAAGGCGGAAAAGCAAAAAACATCGGAAAACATTATGGAAAATCAACAATTTTAGATTCTTGGGGCCCTCTTGGGAGGCTTGTTTGGGACCTCGGGGGCCGTCTTGGAGACCTCTTGGCCCGTCTTGGGGCCATTGGGCGTCTTGGAGCGGTCGTTTGGCGTCTCGGGGCCTTCGTGGGCCGTCTTGGAGGCCTCTTGGGGGCTTCTTGGCCCGTCTTGAGGCCCTCTTGGGCTCGGAAAAGCCCCGTGAACCGCTCGTCCCGGCCGTGCTGCGCTCGTCCCGGACCCCCCCCCCCCTCCAAATCGGCCCTCTTGGGCCGTCTTGGGGACCTCTTGGGCCGTGTTGGGGCCGTCTTGGGCCGTCTGGAGGCCGTCTTGGGGGCCTCTTGGGCCATCTTGGGGCTATCTTTGGGGCCTCTTTGCCCGTCTTGGAGCGTCGGGAAGCCGGAAAGGCGGAAAAGCAAAAAACATAGAAAAACACTATGGAAAATCAACAATGTTAGACTCTTGGGGCCCTCTTGGGAGGCTTGTTTGGGACCTCGGGGGCCGTCTTGGAGACCTCTTGGCCCGTCTTGGGGCCATCTTGGGCGTCTTGGAGCGGTCGTTTGGCGTCTCGGGGCCTTCGTGGGCCGTCTTGGAGGCCTCTTGGGGGCTTCTTGGCCCGTCTTGAGGCCCTCTTGGGCCCGGAAAAGCCCCGTGAACCGCTCGTCCCGGCCGTGCTGCGCTCGTCCCGGACCCCCCCGCTCGTGCCGGACCCCCCCCCCCCCTCCAAATCGACCGGACCGGGCTCCCGGGGGAGGGGTTTGGGGAGGGGGAAGCATCTCACACGCCGATGATCCCCAAGGGGTCGGCGGATTCTTCCCGTCGGATTCCTGCCAGTGGGGCCTTCGGTGGAGCCCCCTGTGGGGCCACGGGTGACGGGTGTGCCGAAATGGGGGCGGTCACGCATATGGTTCCTGCCATTGGGGCTTTCTGTCGGGTCTATCGGTCAGTCGGTGTTCTGTAGCCGATCTCTTGGGTTTAGCCTCGGTTCGAGCTACTGCTGTGCAGGATCTCACACGCCGATGACCCAGGGGGTCGGCGGATTCTTCTGCGTTCCAGCATTTGATCATTCAGACCCAGACTCATTCACACTCATACCCACTCACTCACTCAGTCTCGCTCACACTCAGGCCCCTGGACCCTCATATTCATTCATCTTCAGACTCGTTATTCTTCATACTCATTCATACTTAAACTCATACTCATCAGCCTCATACTCAGACTCACGCATACTCAGACGTTTTCACACTCAGATTCGTATTCACTCTTACGCATAACTCGACCCACTCGTAGTCAGACTCGCTCATACTTGATCCCACTCACACTCAGACTCAAGCATGCCCAGGCTCACTCACACTCAGACTCACTCACGCTCAGATCACATACATTGACCTTCACTCACAGTCTTTCACTTTTTGGTGGTCCATTGCTCCTTCGCTTCTCCACTTGTGCTTCTCTCATCTCTCTTGAAAGATGCCCAGAGGCGTAAGAAGCCGCTACAGTCGTCGCTGCCGCCGTCGTTGCCGCGCCCGTCGTCTACGCTAACTCGCCCTCGCACCCAGATGCTCACGGACGGAGTTCCCCAGCGATGCGTGACAGGAGCATGATATGCACAAGTGGAGATCTCCGCGTCGAGTATGCAGATTGCAGACGAAATCAGGAGTGGAAACACACACACACACAGACACAATGAATCGTCGATTCCCCAGAAAGTATGGGAAAATATGGGACGTGGGGGGGAAACAAAAACCCAGAACATGTAGGAACATATTGGGAATCCTGTTATTTGCGTGTATCCATTCGTGTGTCCCGGGAACCCTTCACAAGAGCCTCACCAGGCAGACCTGGGCATTCTTCCACGCCTCCGCGTGCCAGGGGGGGCACGCCGGCGGACATCAGGAGGCCTCCGGCCCACCCCGCCGCCGTGCTCGGGGGCTGTGGCTCGGAGGCGTCTTGGCTGCACAGGAGGGTCCCTCGGGGAGCCTCTCTGGGGCCTCTTGCAGGGGTCTTGGGGGCTCCTCCTCCTCCTCCTCCTCCTCCTCCTCCTCCTCCTTCTCCTCCTCCTCCCCCTCCTCCTCCTCCTCCTCCTCCTCCTCTTCCTCCTCCTCCTCCTCCTCCTCCTCCTCCTCCTCCTGGGAAGTCTCTGTGGGGCCTCTTGTGGCGTCTCGGGGTGCTGTTGAGGGGGAGGCCTCGGGAGCCTCTGGGGGCATCGTGGGGCCATCCTGCAGCGGAAGCCTCGAATTGGGCGTTCGGGCTCCCCCCCTTGGGGCCTCTTGGGGCCCCCTTGGGTGCCTCTTGGGCCCTCTTGGGGGCCTCTCCGGCCGTAGGGCCCTCTTGGGGTGTCTTGGGGCCCTTTCTGGGGGCCTCCTCGGCAGTCCTGGGCCGCTAGTGGGGGCTTGGGCTTCCTTGGAGCGTTGGAATATGAAAGTGATGGCGAGAAGGCTCAAACCTGTTAAACACTATCGGAGCATCAATGATCGTGGCCTCTTTGGGCCCTCTTGGGAGCACTCGTGGAGCCAGCTTTGGGACCCTCCTGGCTGCAAGAAGATACACGCGACACATCCCAAGAGCTCCCAGAAATTTCCAGGAGCGCCCAGGAAACACATGAGTTCGGGCCATTACGAATCTCGAATCTTGGCTGCAGCAACAGCAAAGCAGTGAGCCTTGGGGCAGTCCACTTCGTGCCAGATGCACGGTGGCGGACGGGACGGGACCCGTCCCGATCGAGAGTTTGTTGGCTCTTTCGATTGGGACATTCTCAGCATTTTGAAAATTGGTGGCACCCCTCACGCAGATCGCGACGTCAGGGTCCAACAAACAACAACTTGCTCTTTCATGTGATCACAAAGCCTTCACACACATGGTGGAATTCAGTGATTTTAAGCCCGATTGATCGGATATTAAAGCATCGCTTAGGACATCCTCCAAGAGTCGAGCCCCTTCTCAATACGAGTACTGGAGAATCAGGCACTTTCGCATGAGACATCCTCCCAACATGGAGTCCCGACGTACACACATAATATGCTCAACACAAACACACACGCACACGCACACACATAACACACCCACACAACACCCGCAACACACAGAACAAACACAGAGAACCCACACACACACACGCACACGCACACACACGAACACATCACACACACACAACACAGCCAATTCAAGCAACACATAACGCGTACACAGCACACCTAACAAACATAACACGCAGAACACATGGCTCACACAGAACTCACATAGCAAACACAACACACAACACACGCACACAAAACATACCACATATAACACACACACACACACCTTACGCACACACACACCAACACACACACACTCATTCTGCGCATGTGCTTGTGTGAGCCTGGGCACGCACGTGCCACTTGTATATTTATATCTACACACATTTGGATGCAATTCCTGGGATGTTGAATTCATCATCGGCGCCAGTACATCCGCGGTCAAAAACTTGCCCGGTCTGGCATAGTCCAGAGTAGTTCCGTGGAGTCCCGCCCAGTCTTAGTCATTCCGGCCTAATGTTGGGCTCACTTTCGGTTGAGCCGGCTTCATGGCCTCCTAATGGGGTTTAGATTCCTCACACGTTCTTGCGACGATTTCCTGGGAGTTGCCCCTTGTCGGTGATCGACGTTCGATACGTGCCCCTGCTGTTGACCCCTGGGCGCCAGGGGCAGTGGGGCGCAGGGCACAGATAGAACAAGCGTGGCTCCCAGGGCCGGGGTCGTATCCATGCCGGAGGTTGGGGCGTGAGCAGGGGTCGGCCACGCGCAGAGGGGGGTAAGGCGAGGGGGGAAGGCTTCTTAGAAGCACCCCTGGTTCTTAGAAGGCGCGGGCCTTCTCTGTACTTCTAAGAAGCAGCCCCCTTCTAAGAAGCCTTCCCCCCTCCCCGACCCCCCTGTGCGCGCCGCCAAAGGGTATGGGTAAGATGTCGATCGCCTGCCTTAGGACCCAGACCCTCGACGTCATGATTTTGTTCATTACGTGGATCCTAGAGGTCTCGAGGCATTCCCCGGGACCGACCTGTTTTTCCTCGTGCGCCGTCTGTTGGCGGCCCCGAGGCCCGGCAAGGGCCCCCATAGGCTGGACATCGCGAAAAGAACAACCGTATTGATTTCTCCGTGACTCGAGGGGGTCTGGGGACGCGCGACGTCGAGCCAGGGTGCCTTCTTTAGGACGCGCGACGTCTAGCAGCCAGGATGGCCGCAGGGGGGGAGGAGGGTGGAGGAGGAGGAGGAGGAGGAGGAGGAGGAGAAGTAAAAGGAGGAGGAGGAGGAGGACGGAGTGGTATGAGGACGGAGAAGGATAGATGATAGAGGATGCAGGATTTAGAGGATAGAGGATGCAGGATTCAGGATAGATGAGGATAGATGAGGATGGATGAGGATGGAGGAGGATGAAGGATGGAGGAGGATGAAGGAGGAAGAAGGACGGAGGAGGATGGAGGAGGATGAAGGACGGAGGAGGAGCAGGAGGAGGATGGAGGAGGAGGATGGAGGAGGTGGAGGAGAATGAGCAGCAGCCAGGACGCCCGCCTCGGCCGCCCGCGAGCGCGCGCGCGCCAGGCGGGGCGCGCGGCGGAGGCGGAGGCCCTGCTGCACCGCATGCGCGCGGAGGGCCCCCGCCCCAATGCGCTGAGCTACGGCCTCGTGCTCGGCGCCCTCGCCGAGAGGCCCCCTCCTCCTTCTTCTCCTCCTCCTCCATCCCCCTCCTCCTCCCTCCTCCCTCCTCCTCCTCCTCCTCCTCCTCCATCCTCCTCCCTCCTCATCCTCTTCCTCCTCTTCCTCCTCCCCCTCGCGCTCGGCGCCCTCGCCGAGAGGCCCCCTCGGCGGCGCCCTCGGCGCTCGGCCTCCCCCGGCGGCCTCCCGCTCGGACGTGCGCAAGTTTGTCTCTCCGAGCGCGTTCCACCATCGCAGGGTGCCTGCTCGCAGGCGTCCGAAAAACAGCATGCCTTCCCTTGTGCAGTGGACTGTGAATACCCCGCGGCGGATCCCGGCCATTTGCGAGTAGACATTTTTCGAGTAGTGGAGCGCGCTTGTCCCTTGTCGGCGAGGACCATCGGGGACCTCTTGGAGCCAATATTGATCGAAGACGAACAAATCGCCACGCACACAAACTTTTGTGGCGTTCCGCGCGGATCTCTCCGATCCATGCTGGCCCCCCCCCCTGGCGGCGCCTCCGCGCCGCCCCTGGCGCGCTACGCGCGCCAGGGAGGCGGGTCCAGCGCAGATCCAAGAAATCTGCGCGGAGCGCCACAAGTTTTATATTCATGCCGCTGTTTCTCTTCTTCGCGCTTCGTGGCGCCTCCTGGGCCTGTCGGGATCTCTGACGTCAGATATCCCTTTGGCCTCTTGAACCCTCTGGGCGGCGTCTGGGCGTCGTCCTCGCAGCTTGACCCTGGCCTCCAGGCCTCGTGCTGGGAGGCCTCGCCGTGAGGCCCCCGCTGCCGCAGAGCACCGACGGCGTCGTTGTCGGCGGCCGACGGCGGCGACGTTCGAACGCTCGGGAGTTGCTTGTTCCCAACCATCTTGTGGTGTTGGGTCCTCGTTTTGAAGAGACGGTGCCCCGCGTCTGTCCTTCCTTCATTCTTCCTCCCCCTCCTCCCTCCTCCCTCGTTCCGTGGCCCCATAGGGAGCTCCACCGAAGGCCCCAATGGCGGGGGGCGCAGGCGTCCGCCACACCCAGCACAACGCTTCGTGGCCCCATAGGGAGCTCCACCGAAGGTCCCAGTGGGGGGGGCGCATGCGTCCGCCACACCCAGCACAGCGTTTCGTTGCCCCATAGGAAGCCCCACCGAAGGCCCTAGTGGGGGGGGGGGCGCATGCGTCCGCCACACCCAGCACAGCGCTTCGTGGCCCCATAGGGAGCTCCACCGAAGGCCCGAGTGGGGGGGGCGCCTGCGTCCGCCACACCCAGCACGGCGCTTCTTGGCCCCATAGGGAGCTCCACCGAAGGCCCAGTGGGGGGGTGGGGGGCATGCGCGTCCGCCACGCCATGCACAGCGCTTCGTGGCCCAAAGGGGGGCTCCACCGAAGGACCGCAGTGGAGAGGGGCGCATGCGTCCGCCACACCCAGCACAACGCTTCGTCGCCCCATAGGGAGCTCCACCGAAGACCCCAGGGGGGGGGGGGCGCATGCGTCCGCCACACCCAGCACAGCGCTTCGTGGCCCCGTAGGAAGCTCCACCGAAGGCCCCAGTGGCGGGGGGCGCATGCGTCCGCCACACCCAGCACCGCGTTTCGTGGTCCCATAGGGAGCTCCACCGAAGGCCCCAGTGGCGGGGGGCGCATGCGTCCGCCACACCAAGCACAGCGCTTCGTCGCCCCATAGGGAGCTCCACCGAAGGTCCCAGTGGGGGGGGGGGGGGGGGCGAATGCGTCCGCCACACCCAGCACAGCGCTTCGTGGCCCCATACGGGGCTCCCCCGAAGGTCCCAGTGGGGGGGGGGGGGCGCATGCGTCCGCCACGCCCAGCACGGCGCTTCGTGGCCCCATAGGGAGCTCCACCGAAGGCCCCAGTGGAGGGGGGCGCATGCGTCCGCCACACCCAGCACAGCGTTTCGTGGCCCCATACGGGGCTCCCCCGAATGCGATACCCACAACTGCATATGGTTGGGTCCTTCGCCAGGCTAATTTATTTTGTGCTCGGCGTCGAAATCCGAGCCCTACCCTCGCCGATCAACGCTTCAGGCAACTTAATGTGCGGCGGGGGTAGGGCTCGGAGTTCGTCGAACGCTTGGCGAACTCCGAGCCCTGTCACCGCCTTCCATCGATTCAGGGGAATCGATGGTTGGTGGGTGCAGGGTTCGGATGTCACCACTTACTTGTTATGAGCTGGCTCGGGCGACATGCGCGGCCGCAGGCTCCTGGAGGTGGTGCCGATCTTCAGAGCAGGGCTAGTTGAGACAACGGGAATTGGCCGTCGGGGCCCTCGTCGCCACGGCTGGACGCCGCTCGGAAGACATGCGCGCCTGGACTCCGGGAGAGGCCCGGGGACCGGTTTTGAGCTGCCGTTGTCTCCAGCTCGCCATGCTCCGAAACATGCGCGGCCGCAGACGTCCGGAGGCGGCGCCCACGTGATCGGTTTCTTATTCATTGTTTTACCGATCGGCGCGGGCCCTCGCACCCCCCCTGCCCCCCCTTCCCCTGGAGTAGATCCTGGCTGTTAGTGGCGCCTGTTTCGCGCAGGTGTAGCTTCCCCCACAGGACGCACGGCTGCAAACGGTCGCACTAAGCAGAGGTCTGGAGCCAGATCCCCTCCACTCCCCCCCTTCCGCCCAATATCGAAACGCCGAAGAAGAAAACGTTGGCCACCAGCTTGGAAATCGACACAACTACCAGCACATAGGGGTTGCCGTCACAGGGGGAAGATGCTCCAAATTTGGGCGTTGGTGGTAGTTTCAGGCGATCGCAAACATGGATCAAGGGGGCGTGGATTAGCGACGGGTCCCGTTTCCATGGGAAATCGCGGATTTCCGCCGCTGGACGAGGCGGCACCGATCGCATTTTGAGGAGGGCACCTCCCCCGATCCATGGATTTGGCGACCGCGCGCCAAATCCATGGATCGCTAATCAATGTCTGCGCGCACCCGATGGTGGTAGTCGGTCGGTCACCTGCAGCCAGGGCGCCGAGACAAGGACCACCTGTGCCTTTGGAAGCTGCTCTGGTGCTCGGGCCGGCCCTCGGACCGGGATCGGGAGAAGCCTGCTCGCGGCCGAGGCCCAGAGTGGCCAGAAAGGCGCGTTTCCTGTTCCGCGTTCCCCGTGGTGGCACGATGACTGTCGGAAGCCTGAAGTAGCTGCTGCGTTCAGGATGCTCAGGTTTTCACCTCGCGCGCGGGTTTTCAGGGCTGGGTTTCTTGCGAAGGTTTCTTGCGGCCGCGCCCGCACTGCACCAGGAGTGGGCCAAGAGGCACAGACACGACTGAAATATAAGAGGATGTGGGACATCTCGAATTCGTGCGGAGTTCTTTGTGTCTCCCCAGGCATTTTGTACAATATCACCCAGGAGCAGAAACAAAACACAGACACAATTAATCGTCGAGTCCCAGGAAAATATGGGAAAGTACGGGAAGTGGGGAGAAAAACGAAAACCCAGAACATATGGGAAAATATGGGGAATCTGTTTTACTTGTGTGTATTTACTTGTGTGTCCCAGAGCCCCTACAATCACCACCGTCTCCGAGGTCGGGAGATCGCCATCCCTCCGTGGAGGCAGCCGCCGCTGCGGGTGTCGGCGCAGACCTCTGGGCCTCTCCTAGGCGCTGCCAGAAGAGCCTTCGGTCCCTGTTCAGCGTTCGCTGTGCCAGCACGGTAATTCGGATGCAACTCTTGGGAGGTCAAATTCTGATTTGGCCCTGGTCCGAAATCCCGCTTCATCCGGCTTAATCCTGTTCAATCCCGCTTAATCCTGCTCAATCCCGCTCAATCCCGCCTAATCCGGCTTAATCCCGCTTGATCCGGGGCCCATTTTGGCGTAACAGCCCCCCAATGGGGCTCAATCCATTTGAATCTTTCCGACGAAAACCTCCCAGTAGTTGCCTCCTAAGCGTAATTGTCGGCAGCCCGAGTACGGGTAGGTTCGTGTCGCGTCGACGCGGTGGCGCGGGCGTTCCAGAATGAACGCCGCCAGTGGCGCAGAATCGGCTAATATGGAACGAGCTGGCGATCGAAAGGCCTCCGATCGTTCAAGGTTGAGCGATCCGCACTGTATCGGAACCCAACGCCAGGCCCCCACCAGGACGACCACGAAAGCCCCCCCCTCCGTGAGAAGGGGAGGAGTCGGCGTCGCGTAAGAGTGACCTTTCGCCCGAGTGATCTTCGGTGCGGGCCCACAGGGGTGTCCCAGCATTGGCCTGAAGCGGCCTACATTCGCTTGAATTTGTCCAAATTGGAGGGTGAAAGAGGGGGTCTGCAACAGGGGGTCTTCAATTGGGGCTGAATGGCCCATGTATGCTCAATGTATCGTTCATGTATGTGAACGGGTACGATTGGCATCTAATGTTGGCGGTCATTGGGGGCCAGTCGTTCGTGCCCGCGCGCTGCCCGCGCGGGCACGCGCGCCGTCCATCCATTATCGCTCATGCGTACGAGGGTTCTTGCATATTGCGCGTGGGGCAGCGAAGTGAAGTGCAAGTGTGTCTTGATTGTGCGATTGATGAGCGTGTATGTTCCCAAAAGATGACTTCTCGACCCCCAAGACAGATTTGGAATGGGGCCCATTTTTCGCCCAAAATGTGAATTCACATTTTCCTGTTTCCCAAAATGTGAATTCACATCCTGGCCCGTTTTATAAAGAATCCTGCACAAAATTCCAAACTGTGAATTCACATTTTCCTTTTTCCAAAATGTGAATTCACATTTTCCTTTTCTCCAAAAATGTGAATTCACATTCGGCTTTTCCCCACAATGTGAATTCACATTTTGCCCTGGCCTTCAAGATCCCCAACACTGAGGCGTTTTGTTCCGCATGTCAGATTGGCTGGGCAGATTTCGACACTCACCTGACCGCTTTCGTTTGTTCCAGCCTTTTCTTTTTGCGCCCTCAGCGCACGTTGCCTTCGTCGCCTTTCCCGAGCCCCCCGCCCCCTTGCTTCCTTTCCTTTCAAGTCTCGCGCATGGGTGCAGGCGGGGGGCTTCCATTAGTTCCCCCGCCGAACACAGCAATCGAGGATGCATCGCCCATTCATGGCCCATGCAGACATCATTGCCGGGGCCCTGCGGCCGACCCCCACTTTCACCCTCCAACTGAAGCAGCCGCGCGCCAAAGGGCACTCTTGCCTAGCGTCACTCTTACGTGCAGCCGAAGGATTAAGTCGGGCATGTCCCTCGACAAGAGGACTACTTAAGAGTAGTAAAACATAGTCTGGCAACGATACTTCGTGCCATTATGACGATTGTTTGATTATTTGGTGACTATGCTTTATTCTTCTTCCAAAATCCGCCTGTAGGAGGCCATGCCCGACCTAACCGAAGGAAGAAGGATCCTCCTCTTCCTGCCCATGTCTCTCCCCTGGCGCAGGTGTGACGGCGCAGCGGCGGAGAGGTGGTACGCGGCCATGCTGGCAGATATCGGGCTCCAGCCTGGCGGAGGACACGAGGAACGACGAGGCAGGGGGGAGCAGGGAGGAGGAGACGTGAGGAGGAAGCGGAGGAGGAGGAGGAGGAGGGGGATCAGGAGGAGGAGGAGGAGGAGGAGGAGGAGGAGGAGGATTAGGAGGAGGAGGAGAAGGAGGAGGAGGAGGAGTGAGGAAGAGTCGGAGGAGGGAGCATGACTCGGATAATGAGCAGCAAGGAGGATGAGGAGTGAGTCGTTTGTCCTTCGTCCTCGTCGTTCTCGTTGTCGTCTTTGTCATCGTCATCCTCGTACTTCGCGTCGCCGTCGTCCTTCTGGTCGTCGTCGTCGTCGACACTGATTGTGGTCGTCGTTCTCGTTGTCGTCGAGGACGTCGTCGGCGTCGTCGTCGTCGTTGGCGTCGTCGTCATCGTCGTCGTCGTCATTCGTTGTCGTCGTCCTCGTCGTCGTCCTCGTCGTCGTCGTCGTCGTTCCCTGTCCTCGTCGCCGCCCTCGTCGGTCGTCGGGAGAAGGGCTCCCTTCAGTTCTACCTTCCCGATCACCACCTCCACAACCTCCTTCACCTCGCCCTGGCAGGACGCGGTGGAGCCGCGCCAGCATCGGCGCCGCCGGTGGCGGAGCCTGGGGCACGGCTGGCACGGCTCAGACGCACTCTGAGAATCGAAAGCCACGAGCAGCTGTCCCTCCGTCCTCCAGCCCGTCCACCCCCTGCGCTCCTGCGCCGGCGCGCCCCGAGCCAGGCTCCCCGACACGGTGGCGCACAACGCCGTGCTCGCCGCCTGCGCGCGGGCCGCCGACGCCGCCCGCGTCGAGCTCTGGCTGGGGAGGACGCCGACGGCGACGGGCGATCGACGACGACGACTCGACGACGACGACGACGACGATGACAGGCGATCGGCGACGGCGGGCGATCGGCGACGACGACGACGACGGGCGATCGGCGACGATGACGACGATGACGAAAACGACGACGACGACAGGCGATTGACGACGACGACATCGACGCCGGCGGCGGCGAGTACGGCGACGACGGACGACAGGCGATGGGCGACAAGACAGGCAATCGTCGCCGACGACGGCGGCGGCGGCGGCGATGGCGACCGCGGGCGATCGACGACGATGGGCGTGCCGAATGGCGCCGCACTTCCCCCTGGGATTCCGAGGCCTCCGAAAGCTGGTGGCCTTGCACCGATCTCACAGAGGCCGCAGGGGGTGCACAGCACAGTGCACGCCACCACCGCCGCTGCTGCTAGCCTGTCCCCAAGGCGCCCTTGTTTTTCAAGCAGTGGCGAAGCGTCCTGGCTCGCCTATAGGCGCATAATAATCTTGTGTGGTCTGCGCGACATGTTCTTAGAACCTATTTGGCTGAGACTGTTTTGTTTTAGCACATCGGGTTTATACACTGTTTTTGGCTCTCAGAACGTTGTTGGGTTCTGAGAAGATTTCGTGGTAGGCCTACAGGAATGCCGGGACGGTCGGTCCCTGCTCAAGTTTTTGTTCAGCGAAATCTTCTCCGAAATCGGAGCATCTATATACCAGCGGCGGGCTGTTCTTCAATCCCAGGGCTTTTGGAGGGTCGGGGACGGCGTCGGGGTGGAGTGGTGTATGCATGTTCCTTGCTTTCCCGGGGAAGCAACGAAAAAACTTATACACCAGGATCCACTTTCCTTTGCGGGTTTCAGTGCGGGGTCGGAAAACGTCGGTGTATAGCGTTCGGTTCCTTGCCTTCTCCATTCTGTTTTGTTCCCCTCACGCTCTCCTCTTCTTCCTTCTCGTCTTCCTCCTCTTCCTCCTCCTCCTCCTCTTCCTTCTCGTCTTCTTCCTCTTCCTCTCCTTCCTCCTCCTCTTCCCTCTCGTCCCCCTCCTCCTCCTCTTCCTCCTCCTCCTCCTCCTCCTCCTCCTCCTCCTCTCAAGTCGCTCTTTGAGAGTCGGGACATGTGCGACCGACGGTGAGGAAACTGCAAACGTACACTGTCAGACCGTCCAGGCGCCTGCCAGCCCGACTCACTGGGGGAGATGTCCCTTCCAGTGTTCCGCCCCAGGGCGACGGATGCCCCGTGTGTCCGATCACGGCGGCCGGCCTGCCGGGCTGGGCTCCGAGCGGGGGAGGCGGCGATGAGTTCACAGAGGCTCGCGCGCGCAAACAAATGTTCGACACCGAGCTGACACGGCTACGCGGGTGTGGGAAGGGAGAGGCGACGCCGACACGGTCAGGGGGCCACCTCCAGCGAGGAGGTCCACGACGCCTCCCCGAGCTGGGATTCGGGGCCATCTCGAGCGAGAGGGGGGACCACACCACTAGGGGGACCCCTCCCTGGCTCCGCCCCCTGGTGGTCTCTGGTTGTGTTGGTGTCAGGTTTCCATGCTTCTGCACGGGGTGATCATCTCTTCGAACAGATATGCTACTAACCAATCGGAGGCAACAATTCACGTTCATTCGATTTCAGCTGCAAGGTTTGTGGACACTTGTCAGTTGGATAATTTGTTTGCGGGGCCAGTTTGACAAAACACCAGGTTCGAGGACACGTCGATCCAGCACTGGGGGGCAATGTGCAGTGGAACCAGGGTGCAATTACTTTGCCCTTCATGGCGCTTCTGAATGTCAGTAATTATGCATACACGCCAGCAACCTTTCGAACAACAATTCTTGTTATGAACTTGTTGCGTATTTCGTTAACGATCCCAAGATATTGTTATTCAGGTGGCGTGTACTCCAGGAGGTGGCGGCTAGCGCGGCAAGCTGTTGCTAGGGCATGGCTTGCGCAGGATAATGATTTCATAATGGCCAATGGCGAGGGGGGGGGTCAGAGCAACACGCACTGCCATTGAAGTTCGACGGAGAACGAGGGGTCAAGTTCAGCGTATCCAGTGTCCGTGCCTTCCGATATCGGCGTTGCCTTGTTGGCTCCCGCATGCGAGTATATGGCACAACATTGGGAATTGCCGTGCGTTGTTACGCTCAAGTGCCTCACGATCGAGTGCCTCATTCATTGCATGCTAAGGTAATCGGACAGCGTACGCCATTTTGGCCAGCATGCGCCCTTTTGATTCAAATCAAAAGGTAATGTTGCTCCATTGACAAATGATCCAGGTGTAAATTCAGAGGGGGCGTTTGGGTTATTCCTGGTGTCGTCGCTATGCCGTCGCAACTAAGCTGTCTCACATGGTTGCGTTGTGTGTATCCGTGTGGCCCCGCCTCTTCCCCCCCCTCTGGGGCCGCCCTGTCCGTCCTCTTCCTTCTCCTGCACGCTGGCCAATTCGCTTTTCGGTGCCCCTGTTTAGCTCTACCGCTGATGCAGCCAGTCTGCCTCGCCGCCAGCGAAGAAGTGTGTGTGTGTGTGTGTATCCGCCCCGCGTGTCCGCAGTCGGGGGCGCTGTTCGCGTGTCGGTCATGCCCCGCTTCTTCTTCCTCTGGTTTTGCGTCCGAGTGGGCACGCAGTCACCGCATCATGTTCACGCTGGTGCTTGCGAAGGGGGCGCTTGGCACTTTCTCGTGGGAGGGATTCGCGGCATACCGCTCGATTTGGGGGGGGGCGAGACTAAACTGAAGTCGGGCCTGTCCCTGTACAGGAGGAATCTTCAAACATATTCAAAACATAGTCATGGGACAAATTGTAGAAAAACAAAAAAAAACAACGAGTCTAGACAATTTTGGAGTATGTTTGAGGGTCTCCGTTATTTTTCGTCCAAGCTCCCCCTGTAGGGGGACATGCCGGACTTGATACTGCACCGTGGGAGCCCAGGGTGACACTGGGCCGCGCCTCCAGGGGAGGCAGGGCGCCGGCCCTGCAGCAGGCCCCGCGGGTTCGCGAGGGGTGCGGGGCTGCGCCCCTCGGCCGGGCACGCGCCCGGCGCCGCACGCCGTGAGTTTGGGGGTGCGTGGCGCCCTCCCCCCGTCAGGTGCGCGATCCACGGAGGTCACGCGCGCATCAGTTGTACAGTCGGCCCTGGTGAGTAGGCCGACCCTGCCAAATCAAGGGTACCCTCAGGTACCCTTGTGTCCTGTGCCTCGCAACCCATGCCTCCTACATCCCCCATGGCAATGTGGCCCTCGGAGAGGTCTTGTGTCCTCTCGCGTGTCCTGTTCAATCAAGGCCGACTGTATCGTGTCGGCAGGGGCGGGCAAGGCTGGGGCCAGGTCGTCGTTCTTGTGGTTGTCTTTGCTGTTGCTGGTTGTGGTGGTGTTGTGGTGGTAGTATTGTTGTTGCTGCTGCTGTTGATGTTGCTGTTGCCGTTGCTGTTGGTGTTGTTGCTGCTGTTGTGGTTGCTGGTGCTGTTGTTGTTGTTGGTGTTGTTGTTGAATATTATTACTTCTAAAGAATAATTATTGTTGGGCCCCCTGGTGCACGCCCCCCTCGCCGCGCCTAGGCCGCAGCCACATTTTCATCATTTTCGTGAGGAAGTCTCAGGCAAAACGGGGGAGTCCGGATCCGGTTGTTTTGTTGACGCCCGCTTTCCCTGTCAAAAAACAATATAAAATGACATGTCTTG